TCTAAGTTTATGCATTGTATTATATTGGATTAAACTCTGTAATTCTGTGACGTCAGCTGGTTTTCCTTGTGGCCACACGCAGCTCGCCGAGAGGACCTGGGATACAGAGGAAGAGAGAGAGCCAAACTTTTTTCCAAAGTTAACTATTTTAGAATATTTTCTTCCTTAACATAACCTAAGAAAACTAAAGGAAATGATCGTAACTAGTTCTGAAAAAGTTGCCACCCTGATTTGAAGAGCAAAAAAACAGCAGATAAAAAAAAAAACCTGGTCAAAAAGAAATAATATGAAACCAACGAAGACTTGATCCAAGTATCAATAAGCATCCAGGGGTAAAAGAAAGATCCTGTGTTTTAAATAGAAATTCCTGATATTTTAGATAATTTATGCAGGAGTTATGATTCTGACGCTCAGATAAACAGATCATCGACTGAAATTGACACGAACCTGTTGCCTTGTTGCTCTTGTCCGCCCTCTCCTGGTAGAGGTGAAGCGTAAACAGGAAGTGTGAGTTTCTTCGGGCGTCTTGGTCGTCGGGGGTCCGGCTGCTCCTCCTCTCTGCCAGAGCAGCGTCCAAAAAGAACGCCGCTCGCTCGGCGCTGGAGGCCCGGAGCTCCGTCTGGTTCTGAAGCTGATGGAAAGACGAAGAAATTAAAACACAGAGAGCTTTAAAAAGCAGACTTAGAATATTCCTTATATTAATAGAGTATAAAACTGTGGAATAAGGATGTTAAAACATAGAATTCAGGTTAAACATTTCTTCTTTCCGCTCTGATTCCTCCACCTTTAAACAACACCTGACTTTAACTAAACTCTGGATGAAATTAAGTTTTAAAACTTCACGTCTGAATCTTCCAGCCATCTACGACTCGATGCCGAGCCCCCTCCTCCACCTCTGAGAGATAAAAGACCAAATGAGACAGAATGGGGTTTGATAAAATAAGGACGCCTCTACGAGTGGAGAAAAGAGCGCGGTGACAGAAGAAGAAGAAAATTAAAGTGAACGGAGATAAAACGTGGCAGACTGAAGGAACCCGGGGAGATAAAAGAGGGTGAAACTGTAAAAAGGAAGATCAAAACTAATTGGACAGTTTCAGAAAGAGATGGAGTCCCAGGAGGTGAAGAGGAGGTCAAAGAGAAAAGTGGAGGGAGGAGAAAGAAAAGCAGAACCCAGTAAGTTTAAAGGCGACTCCAGGCAAAATGTCCTTGAGGTCTCAGCGTAGCACAATGTCACCATGAGTTTTAGACATTTTATGTTTTTTTATTGTTTTTTTGTCTGTCATGACAGCGACACATTCAATGGATCGGTCAGAAACTGCGGATTGTTAGCTTTCATATTTAAGAGGAGTTTAGACTGATTTAAAGCGGCGCTTTGGGTCACATGCGGGCTCAGACTGCTAATCTGTGATAGCGGGCATTTGCCTGGTGGGCCGGTCCTAATTTCAGCCAATTTCGCCTCCTTAAATCATACCCGGCTGAAGTTCCTACCTGTGGCAGTAGATAACTCAGTCTACATGTTCATAGATGCATCGGTGCTGAACCGGGGTGTCAGTCTGCTCATCAAACGGTGTTTTAACTTTATCAACTTAAATAAAATCTTAAAATCATAAAGCCGTGTGAAGCTTCTTGAAGGTATTTTTGAAAGTGCTACATCCCTCCTACATTAAAAAGGTTCCTCCCTCCTTTTATCTGTACCTGGGAACCACAAACAGGATCTTCCCTCAAGGACACGGCTGGCCCCGGGGCCTCCTGCTGGGCCCCTCCCGAGGAAGAGAGCTCAGTCAGGAGATCAGTGAGCGTTTCCTCCCGACCGGAGATCTCCACCGCCGACACTCTGACAGAGAACCGGGCCCCGGATTTCTCTCTGCGCTCCTCGATCACCTTGAAGAGCCAGGAGATGGCTGTGGGGGCCACGCCCAGACTCTGTGTGGAGCAGTCCCGTCCAATCATGGTGTACGTCTTCCCTGCAGGGGGCGGAGTCAGTGCAGACATTACCTGAGATGTTCTGTGTTTGTGTGAAAGAACGGAGGGCGGTACCCACCCAGGTTGGCGTGTCCGTAGCAGAAGATGCAGCCATCGGCTCCATTCACCACCGACTGGATGACCTCAGCCACCGTCCCCGAACACACCTCAGCCTATCAGGAGCCAGAGACAGGTGACACCCCAGGAGGCTATTTCACTCACATTCAAACAGACATGTTCACAAGTCATTTTTTGCCCAAGTCCAAGTCTTGAGAAGGCCTGTCGCAATTATCAATTAATCGCACAATAAAGTCTAATCACTTGATTAATTAAAATAAGTGCAATAATTTGCGTGCTTGCTTGTTTCTCCTTGTGTTTTCATCTCCTTCACTGAGACGGTGTAGTTCAAAGGTCACTATTATATCTATGGAATGATCATTATCTTAAACTGGTAAGTGAAAAATACAATTAAAAAAAGCACACGCTAATTTTTTTCCAGTTAAATTTTGCATCTTTATTTTTTTTCTTTCAAAAACAACAATTTTCTTACAGTATTTACCAGACATTTGTGGTTACACTGGAAAAAAATCTAGATAAGTAATTTTTTCTTAAAATAAGTGCATTTGTTCTTAAATTAAGGAGATTAAAGAGACATTTTGCCACCGGAACAAGACAATGTAGATTTAAAATAAGAAAACACAATTGCATTGTCTTATTTTAAGTGCATATTATCTAATTATCTTATTTTAAGGGTAAAAATACTCATTCCATTGACAAATTATCAAATTAACCTATTTAAATCAAGGGTAAATACACTTAATTTAAGAAATTTTTTATTATTTCTAGATCATTTTTGCATTGTACAACTTTTTCTAGTTTTAGGAGTAAATGTCTGCTCTTTTATTTTTAAGTGAAAATAAGGGCTGTGGAAAAAAAAAAACAATCACAATCCTGCTTTTTATTAATACATATGAAGTTAGCAACTACAACAGATAAAGAAAAAGCCTAACTAAATACCAGGATGATAAAAATTCTTCCATGAAAGAAACATTGTGGCAATAACTTTTTGTAACTTAATGCCCTGGAACAGACAGAAC